TTAAACTAGCTGAAGCTAGGAAAAGATATTTTTGTACCTGAAAAGTCTGAGGAGATTCCTTCTTTAGCATTAGGCACCACTGGTTATCTTTCCTCCATGTTTTTGTCTTAGGTGAGTTTTGTTCATGTATTGAGAGGTGGCAACTAGCAGCCTTTAGAGTAATTATGGTCCACAACACTATACTTTCTCCCTAGCTTTGTTGAAAGTCCACTGAGACCTCTAATTTGGTTGGTTTGCAGACATTTATAAGGTAGGGAATAACATTTAATGATCTTTGCTTAGGTAATCCTCTGGTTTAATTTCTATATCCCCCATGGATCAAAGCAAGATTAATTTGGACAGGGCAAGGATTGGGTTCCCCAAAGGAAGAGACATTGTACAGATTGCTCAGAGATTATGACCTCACAGTGTCAGTTTTAGCGCTAAAACTAACCATTGGGCTTTGTTAGTGGGTACTTGGGCCTTGTGTTTGCAAGGCAGGCAGCGGAACCACAGAGCTAAACCCCTGGCCTCTAAGCACTTTTTTGAGTTAACTTAGAAATACTTGGCCTTTTCTTTTTGTTGTTTTTGGTTTCTTGGGATAAGGTCCTGTTGTATTCCAGGCTGACCTTGAACTTGCCATATAACTCATGTTGGCCTTAAATGTGAGATTCTCCTGCCTCAGCCTCCCGAGTGTAGGATTATAGACACGCACCTTTCCACCCAGCCCACTTGGCCATTCTTTAGCATTAACATATTAAAAAATCTTCAAAGCAAGTTTTATGTAGACTGAGTAGCACTCAATGAGGATTTTCAAATAGAAATTTTAAGAATGCAGCCACTGTGGTGCATGCCTGTAATCCAAGCTACTTGGGAGGCTGAGGCAGGAAATCCAGTCTCAACAAATAAGAGCTGGGAAGGTAGCACAGGGGTGAGGCACCCCAGGGTTCAATCCTCAGTATATATATTTTAAAAAAACATATTTGGTATAATGAACCTTATAATAAGTATCTTGTTGAATGTACTAGGTTTGGTTCCAGTGCTGAAGGAGCTTAGGGTCTTCAGAGGCAGTTGCCCTATGGTTTTTTTTTTTGGACCTGGAAGAATTGAACTCTGGACCTTGTGCTTATGACTGAGCTAAATCCCTGGCCCACCATGGTTTTAAAATATTGACAAAGAAAGAATGGTAGTGAATAATTCAGAAAGCGTTCTGCTGGAAGCTTTAGAAGATTGTTCATTTGTTTATTATTTTTTTTTACCATGCATGAATGTGGGAATTTAGGTAGTAGAGCTGTTGTAGAGATGGTCTCCTTGCACCTATGTTTCTATAGGCACTTGTTACATATATAATCCTCTCCTAGCCAGTCATTTGTCTAATATTAAAGTGTTTTTGCTGTTTTAGTGGGGTCAGGGTAAGCTAATAAACTTACAGACTACTACATTTTATGGTAGAATTGTGTGCATAAATTCCTTGGGTATACTCGCAAACCAGGTATTTCTCAGGTATACTTAAGATAATTGTCACATAGTTGTGAGATACTGAAATCAAGCAGAATATTTTTGATAATTATATTTGATAAATGTAAAATGAACATTAATTTATATTTTTTAACTTAGTGAACTTTTAAAGTAATGAACTTTGAAAAATAAGACTTAAATTGATTCCTAAAAACATAAACACTACCATGGTGTGTCTTGGTACACTCTGCATACAGCTGTGATAGATTTACCTTTTTATTCTTAACTTGTAACTATTAAATTTTCTAAAATAGACGTGTATGAACTAATGGGAATGGTTACTTTAAAACTCATTTATAAAACACTTCATCCTTATAAAATAGCTGTACTAAAAGCTGGTTAGAAGAGCCTTGGTGAACTTTAGGGTGATCAGGTGGGAATCCTGTTGGCTTTTTTTTTTTTTTTTTTGGAAGTTCCACTAACAGGTTTCTGAGAGTTAACCTTATGTCTGGTGGAGGATCTGGAAACCTGAATGTTATTTTCTGGGATTTTCGACCACACCTTGTCATTTTAGTCATAGGTTGAAAATCCTGCCCTTTATGGTACCTCATGCTTACTTCAGATTCTTGTTTGGCTTCTTTGATATGATTTGACTTGTTTGTTGACTTCCTTCCTTCTTAGGCAGTTTATATTTAAGCTTTCTCTGGTGTCATTTATTTTTCCTGTTTTGAAAATTTTGTTGAAACCTTTTATGTGCTTGTGCCCTTTTGCATTATCTTTACTGGCACATTGTGCTTTTTTTGGGAGGGTGCTGGGCCTTGCAGATACTAAGCTTTTACTCTTTTTTTTTTTTTTTTTTAGTGTCAGGGATCAAACTTGGGACCTTGCACTTGAGAGGCAGGCAGCGGAACTACTGAGCAAAATCCCTGGCCCCTAAGTCTTATTTTTATTTTTTAAAATTGTTTATTTTTTCCTCATTGAGTTTATTGGTACATTTTAGGTGTACAGTACAGTTACATTCATTATTGGGATCTTGTACCTTTACATGACAGGTTAGCCCCTAAGTTTTACTCTTAACACTGAGCTATACCCCCTTTTATTTAATTAATTAATTTATTTATGTATTGGTTTTTGAGACAGGCTCTCACTATGTAGTTGAGACTGACCTGGAACTCACTGTGTAGCTCAGGCTGATCTCGAACTCACAGCGATCTTTCTGCCTCAGCCTCCCAAGTGCTGGGATTACAGGTGTGACCCACTACCCCCTTTTATTTTATTTTATTTATTTTTTGTACTAGAGGTTCGAACTCAGGACCTTGACCTTGGGAGGCAGGTGGAAGCACCACTGAGCTAAATCCCTGGCCCATTTTTGTTTTTTCTTTTGAGAAGCGATCTCACTGTGTGTCTCAGATCCATCCGCTTTGGCCTTCCCAGTGCTGGTTGGCAGACATTGTACCAGCATATGCAGCTGCTTTTACATTTTTAATTTTTTAAAGTGTAGTTTTGAGAGGGAGAAGAGAATTATCTTTACTCAGATCTCTGTTTAATAGGAAGAGGAGGCTATCAGCTCTCTAACAGTGGTTGTATCAATTTATGTTCCTTTTAGCAGGTATATATGAATTTTTAAAAAATTCCACCTCCTCCTTGTTGCTAATCGTGATTAATAAGTTAAGTTGCTGTCAGGGGTGGTGGTTTCTACCTATAATCCCAACTACTTAGAGGTGGAGACAGGAAGATTGCAAACCAGGAGCCAGCTTGGGCAATTTTTGAGATCCAATCTCAAAATAAAAATAGAGCTGAGATATAATAAAAGGGTAGAGTGCTTGCCTAGCCTAGGGTTCAATCCTGGTACTAGCGGGGGAGACGGGGGAGAAATGGAATTCAGACTCAGGGTTGTCAGAAGTGAAAGCTTGAGTTCTGCCCACTGTGGTTTTGTACCTTTTAAGTATTTTAAATTTTAAATAAATGAGTAGAAAGAAATTCACTTATTTCTATATTCTTCTCCAACTTTTGGCTTATTATGCTTGCTTTCCACTTTTCTACCTGTGGAAAATTTACAGCCTAGTACTACTTTATTAGAGATATATTCCAGCCCACATTATGTTGATACAATAAAGCTTAGTTACATGATAAAAACAGGAGCGTGGTAGATTCTCTTATATTCATGAGTTCTCTTTTTAGAGAACTTTGATACCTGAGATGACGGGTGATAGGTGGTGGAGTTATATTGAGGAATATTTGGTTCTCTGGGTATAGTATTTGCCTGTGGTGATGGCAGTTAGGAATGGTTGCTTTTCTTTTGTAAAGTGTTGGCTGATCTCTTTTGTTGGAGTTTATTTCTTACTGCTTAGCCGTTGTTGCTTTCCAAGGACTACCCTTCCCTTGTACTTTTCCCCCCATTAAGTTTATTGGTTCATTTAAAGCAAATAATACAGTTACGTTTATCATTGGGATCTTGTACCTTTACATGATATGTCTTGGCTTTTATTTTTTTCCCCATACTACTTCCCTCCCATTGCCCCTTTCACCCTTCCCTATTCCTTCCCTTGTACTTCTATTTCATCTTTCATGAGCTGTCCTAAGACAGTGATTCTACTTTGAGGATTCTACCTCATAGCTTCTAATCTTTTAAATATATAATACTGTCTTTTCATAATAACACTATCTTCCCATACAACTCAAGTTCTCTAAGTTGAAATCAAAGCTCTGATTTGTTTTTTATTTTTTGTTTTGTTTTCTTTTTGGTACTGGGGATCGAACTCAGGACCTTGTGCTTTTGAGGCAGGCGGCGGCATCACTGAGCTAAATCCCCAGTCTGAACTCAAAGCTTTGGTTGGAGTGAAGAGAATAGGTACAAAATTTTTAGAACATTTGACTATTCTTTTCCTGAACCATTTGCAGTGCAAGTAACTTTTTTTCTTTCTACTTCCCTTCTTATTTACTTTAAGATATCAGAGGTCAGCAAAATAAGGTCTTCTCATCTGCCTTTTTTGTTTTGCTTTTGCAGTACTGGATATCGGAACCAGGGTCTTCACATTGTGCTATATCCCCAGTCCTTTTAACATTTTTAATTTTGAGAGAGAATCTTGATAAATTACCTAGGCTGGTTTTGAACCTGGGATAATCCTGTCTGGAATTAGAGGTGTGCATCTGTTTTTGTGTGGCCTGTGGGTACCACTCCAATGGGTTAGCACTGTGAGCCTTGGAGATACAGTTGGAGTGTTCTCTTTGCTTCATTCTGCCTGTTGCTTCCAGTGTTTGCCTCCCTGGCCATACTTAACTACTACCCAGGTTTGCTGTGGTGCCACCTTCACATTAGGTACTCTGTTCAGCCATAACTTGACATCAAGTAGTGTAATGTCACGCTGGGAATTGACAGCTGAATACATTACTTTGCCTCCAGTACACTGTGCCAGGTGCCCAAGTTGAAATGTCTGGACTTTGCTGGAAGAGAGATTCCTAGCAGGAATTTTGGATGTTGTGAGAATGAGTGAAACCGAGCATTTTGGCCATTCCTCCCATTACACGGCTACTTCCTTTCATTCAGAGAATGTCTCCAGCTGATGGCAGTGGACATCTACATACCCAGTGTGCTCATCACTAGGACAGCCCCCAGCAAAAAGGGTACAGAGCAGGACAGGAGGTTATCTCTTAAATAAGTACTTAGGTACTGTCTTTGATTTTGCCTTTAACCCGGAAGAGCCTAGATAACACTTTTTGGCAGCAGCTTGCCAATCCTTTCTCTATAGCCATATTGGCCTCTTTGCTGCACCCCACATACCTTCAGGCATTCTTGTTGCTTTAGGCCTTTGGCACTTGTTCATTCCTTGAGGTGTCCTGAGGAAGTTCCCTTTCATTATCAAAACAGAATCTTAGGCTTTACTTTTCAGAGACAGGAAAAAAGATTGCCTTTTGAAAACTCTGCATTTTCTGTGTTGATCTTTTTTAGGACCAGCAACAAACCTAAGAAAAAGACCCAGTATCTGCTCTCATAGATCTTAGAGTGAGAGAAGAGACATTAATAATGATCCCACAAATAATACATTATGATCAGGGATAAATTCTATGAAAGAAATGTTTAGGGGCTTAAGAAATTACAAATGAAGGTGGAACTAATTTTAATAAGGGATTATATTGACTGACATAGCACTTTTGCTGCCAGCATGGGCCATGTTGGTCTATGTTAGTCATCTCTCGACTGCAAGTAGCTTCCTGATTGCTCTACTTTTGCGCTGCATACCTGCAGTTGCTTATATAGCAGCCATGGTTACTGTGAAAATAAGTTAGATCATGTTACTCTTTTGTTCAAACCATCTGATGGTTCGCCTTCTTACTTGCCCATATAATAAAACTGTGTAATTTTACTGTTGTACTCAAAATCTGTCTTCCTTCCTCCCTTCTCCCCTCGCCTCCTTTCCCTTCCCTTTCCTTCCCTCCTTCCTTCCTTCCCCCTCCCCTCCCCTCTCTTTCCTTTCTTTTCTTTGTTTCCTTCTTTTCTTCCAAACTGGACATTGAAACCAGGGCCTTCACTTTGAGTTACATCCCCAGTCCTTTTATTTTGAGACAGAATCTCATTAAGTCCCCTAGGCTGGACTCAGACTTTGAATCTTTCTTCTTCAGCCTTCCAGAGTGCAGGGATTATAGGAAGGGACCACCGTGCCTGACTATTATTATTTATTTGATATTGTCTTCTGCCACTTTATGGCTTTATTGGCCTCCTTAGCATCCCAAATATGTTCCCAGGCACACTTTCATTCAAGGATCTTGGCATTGGCTTTTCCCTGGACTTTTCTCTCAACAATTTGGCTCATTCCATTGTTTTATTCAGGATTTCTCCATTCATGATGTTTTAAAATTAAAAACAAAAAGTTAAATGACCATTTTAAAATGGCATCCTCTTCACCTCACTGTATACATTATTCTTCTTACCTGTTTTTCTCTATAGTACCAGCACTGTGCTGTAGTTTTTCTTTCCCTCTAAAAGCTTCACAAAGATATACATTTTTATTTTATTATTTGGTACCAGGGATGGAACTCAGGACCTTGTGCACTTGCGAGGCAGTTGGCAGCACCACTGAGCTAAATCCCCAGCAGATTTTAAAATGGTTACTGCTAAATTGCTATGCCCTAGAACTGTGTTTGGTTCATCATAACTACAGTTGATCTCAGGCCTTTTGCACTGGGCAGTATTCTCTAGGTGCCCCCTCTTGTTTCCTTTTAACAAATTTTTTTTTTTTTTTAACTTTGAGACAAGGTTTTGCTAAGTTTCCCAGGCTGGGTTCTGACTTAGGAGTTTCCTGTCTCAGCCTTCCAAATTGCTAGATTATAGATGGGGTGTCTTGCCATTTCCAGCAGAAAGTCTTCTTTGAAGGCATGCCAGCTCAGAAAAAAGGTGGGAAATAGGGGAAAAGGATTCAAATACAGAAGAAAAAAAAAATTGATGAAGGCCCTGAACTAAGAGACCATATAATTTAGTGACTTGAATACACAGTGAATATCCTGAAATAAAGCCATAGAGCTGGACGATGGCTAGGTAATGTAAGACCTTATCAAAATTAAATATAGTGGCAGTCCTTTAATACTTAATACTTTGAAGTTTATTTCCTAAATACAAGTGTACTTCTTACATATAACTTTTGATGGTACTGAGGATTGAACCTGGAGCCTTTCTTTGCTCCCAGATACATCGGTAGGCTCAGCACCCCCTTTCTTTAGAGGTAGGTTATCATAAAGTTGTCCAGTTGTTTCATATTCCCTTGTGATTTATGCATTTTTGCATAGGTATACTAGTGAATTGATGCTGAATTCTTTTTAGTTCATACCAGGAAAAACATGATGTTGATATATACTATTAGTGGTCATATTAATTTTTATCCTTTGGTTAAGATAGCGTTCACTACATTTCTTGACTTTATAGTTGATGAGTATGGTGTATTTATTAGTAAGTATTTTGTACCCAGTTGCTGAGTCTGTGTGACACCTTATTCTCATCAAACTTTCCTTATTTTTATTATCCATTGATAAATATTCCAAGAATCAGATATACTACTCTCAAAGGTGCCAAATAATGATTTCTCTTTTTCTTTTTCATTGAGTTTATTGGTACTTTTTAAGTATACAGTGAAGTTACATTCATCATTGGGATTTTGTACCTTTACATGACAGATCTTGGTTCTCATTTTTTCCCCATACCCCTGCCCTCCCTTCACCCCTTTCCACCCTTCCCTATTTACAAAGACTGTTTCCATTTTTTTCCTTTTCTTACATTTTTTTCTTTTCCTTTTTTCCTTTCCCCTCCCCTTCCCACTTCCCCTACACTTTTAACCCTTTTCTTCCTGTTTGACATTACTAGTTATACAATTTGAATCTTATTTACACTTTTAGTTTTTCATACCAGAGAAACTTCTCAGTATTTATACATGCGTGTCCTATTTATTTCACTTAAGAGTATGGCCTCAATATGCATCCACTTTTCTATGAATGACTCTAGTCAAATAATGATTTTTCTACCAATCATTTCTTCCATATTTATTCATTGGCCTTGTACAGTGGTAGCACTTCCTCTGTTCATCTATTTACTTCAGTATCGTGTTTGTATTTTTTTTAACAGATTGAATTTGTTAGTGTTTCTTATTTTATTTATTCTATTATGAGTTTCATGAAGCTAATTTTAGGTTTTTTAAAAAACATATCCTTAGGGCCAGGGATTTAGCTCAGTGTCACTGCGTCTGGTTTGCAAGTGTAAAATCCTGAGTTTGATCCCCAGTACTGAAACAAAACAAAACAAAAAAACTGGTCCTCCTCTGTTTTGTTTTTTTTTTCCAGCTTTAATTGAGTTTATTGGTACATTTTAGGGATACAGTACAGTTACATTCATTGTTGGGATCTTGTACCTCTACATGACAAGTCTTGATTCTCATTTTTTCCCCTTACCCTTGCCCTCCCTTCACCCCCTCCTCCCCTCCCCAACACTTTATTTCCATCTTTTCATTATCTCACATTTTTTTCTTTTCCCTTATTACCCTTCCCCTACTCATCTCACCTTCCCTACACCTTTAGCTCCTTTCTTCCCATTTCTAAATGTCAGTATCTCCTCTTTTTTTGAATACTTCACTTTTTTTTCTTTTGAGACAGGTCTTATATGTAGTTCAGGATGGCCTTGAACTCATTATGCGGTTCAACTCATTGAATTCAGGATGTTCCTTTTGTCTCAGCCTTCTGAGTGCTAGGATTACAGGTATGCACCACCTTGCTTGGCCTGACTTCATCACTTTTTGGCATAGCAAGATATTTTAGGTTTGAGTCTTGAATCTTGTCAGTCTTAGCCATGGAGTTAACCTTTTCTGTAAATTTATTTATAAGATCTCCTTTTAATGCAGGACAAAATTTATCTGGGCAGCAGATAATGCTTATTGCTGCTGTGAAGTATAACCACATCTAGTCTATCTCAGCATATACATTTCGGAGTTATGTACATACATGTTTAAATCTATTTTTGTTTCTCTCCACTACAGTAACAAGATGAATTCACATTGATACCTCCAGCTTAGTCCCAAATCACAGTTTATTCTAGTCTTGTGTTTTCCCATATCTGTAATTCTTTTCTCTGACAGTGAGAAACCTGTTTCCCATTATCTTTTATCTACTTAGTTGCTCAGTTCTTCCTGTTTGTAACCCAACTCAAGGCCATGCCAGCCAAAAGCTTGGTCTCACGTATTGCTTGCTTACTTCTATTCACTTAACCCTGAAAACTTTCCCCCCAAAATACCCTTTGGAAAGATAGCCTTGAGGAAGGTCAGGGAAGGTATAATAGGAATTAGGGAAGATTAGGAAAGGGTAGAAAGGAAGGAAAGATTAGAGGTCATTTACAAAGCTTGGCCCTAACCCTCTTCGTTTTCCTTTCTTGTCAGACTTGCTGGCTAAAAAGCTCACTTTGATGAGGCGGGAGACTGCTCCGTGTTTAGTGATCACTCTGACAGATGTGTGGAGAATATATTGGAAAGAAGGAGAAAGGAGACAGGCAGATTGGCTAGGAAACCTGGATTAGTTTACCTGAAAGAGATGAGCTATGTGAGCTTTTGAATTTTTTTTTTTTTAAACAGGGTCTTGCAACATAGTTTAGACTGGCCTTGCACTCACTATTTATCCTATCTGGCCTTGAACTCAGCAATCCTCCCGCCTCAGCCTCCTGAGTACTACTAGGATTGCAGGTGTGTACCACCAGGCCTGACTTGAGCTTTGTGGGAGCTGATGAGCTGTGTGGCTGTGGTGGACAAATCTCAAGAAGTGGACATAACCCAAGCATATTTTAAAGTTGATTAATTTGTTTTAATCAGCAATGCACTAGTGATATGGATTTCTAATGGATAAAAATATTATCTTAATGAGAGTATTTTAAGAAATACATGGTTTCTGGATCACACGTTAGTTTACTTTTAGCCAGTAAAAATTGATACATATTTTTCTGTGGTGGTGGGTATGAGTTATTTTCTCAGTTTTTTTAGTGCATATGTTTTAGCTCTTGTCTTTATACCTTAAAAGACTCATTTACTTTAAAATAACTGATTAAATTGGTTTTGTTGGCCACTTCATTAAGCCACTCCAATAATAAACCAGTTTTTTTGTTTGTTTGTTTGTTTTGTTTTTTTTTGAGACAGGGTCTCACTATGTAGTTGAGACTGACCTGGAACTCACTATGTAGCTCAGGCTGGTCTCGAACTCATAGCGATCCTCCTGCCCCAGCCTCCTCAGTGCTGGGATTACAGGCGTGCGCCACCACACCCGGCTCAAACCAGTTGTATTTACATGAATGTGTGTCCTATTTAGTTAAGCTAATTATTGATTTTGCTTTACTTTTTAGATATTATGATCAGATTTGTGCCATTGAACCCAAATTCCCATTTTCTGAAAATCAGGTAAGTTATTAATTTTGTTTTAAAGTCATATGATAATTACAAATCACCCATTTCCTTCTATCCATGCTATCATTTTATTGAGATTATTGTCAGTGACTCTTCTTTTACTACCTTTAAGCCTTTATAAAATGGTTTTATATAAATTAGAAGTTTTTAGATCTGCCTCATAGGAATCTATGTTCTTAAGGAGAATCTTATGGAATTCTATTCATGTAACTCTTGCTAGTCTCTTCTGGGGCTCATATAGGAGCATAGGACTATTTTAAATCAATAGAGGATCTAGAGATTGATTAATATGATCTTGCTGTGTCCTTCCTTTTGACTTTTACAGAATAAGAAGGAAACTATGTAGTTTAGGAATTATTACAAATTACATTTGCATATAAATGTTGCAGATGCTGTTATAATTGATGTTATATTACAGTAATTTCAACTTTGTGCCCTCCTAAAGTCTAGTTGTCGAAAATGCAGATGATTTCTTAGTTTTAGTTGATATTTGAGAGACTTGATAAAAGGTCTTTTTTTTTCTTCATTACTGGGCACACAGGACTTTTACACTGAGCTATATCTCCATCCCCCCTTTTAAAAATATATTTATTTTGAGACAGGGTCTCTCCAACTCTAGGGTCAGACTTGCAATCTTCTTCCTTCAGTCTTCCAGAATGCTGGGCGTGTAGGCTTATGCCATTGTGCTTTGCTCTGATAAGTTTGTGTAGTATGTAATACTTCTAAATTTCAAAACAGTGTAACAAAAGTACTTTAAACATTTTTATATTAAAGTTTTTATAGGTGAAATAGTTTTATATTGAGATTTGCTTTAAAATGCTTTGGGAAGAAAGGTGTATATGGATGGGTGATGAGTGGGGGAGGGAAACTGGGGAGCACATGAATCAGGAGGAAAAGACTAAAGATACTGATATATAGGAGTTTATTTTGCTAATGTTTCTATTTTTGTGTATATTTAAAAGTTTTTCTACTCCAGAGTTAAAACATTTTTTTGTGTTTGGATATAATAAATGAAGTGAAATTCTTTTATGTAAGTATGAATGTATTATGTATTTTTGTGGAACTGACTGGGTATGGAATCAAGAGCCTTAAGCATGCTAAACACGTACTCTACCACTGAGTTACATCCCTTAGCTGTGAAATTCTATTTTTTTTTGTTACCAAGGATCGAACTTGGGTACTTGCACTTGCAAGGCAGGTGGCAGAACCACTGAGCTAAATCTCCAGCCCTGTGAAATTGTTTTTAACTTTCATATGTAATATACTTATTTTAAGAATAGAGAGAGGTAGTTTTTAAATTAAATTTTATTAATTTATAATATACTGCCATTCAGAAAAGAGAACAAATCACATGTATAGTTTGAATTTTCACAATGGGAGTATACCTGTATAACTGCCATTCAGATCAAGTAATAAAATATCCTATTTCCTCAAACAAACCATTCTGCTATTTTTGTAATGGCTGTTTTTATCACCTAGCAAACCTTTAGTATTTTATTGGTTTTATTTTTTTTCTCTTAGTTGGCACGTATTTATTAAGAGCTTGTTCTCTTGAAGCCATGGTACATTTGTAAAGATGAATAAAACAGTGTTTATGATTACTGAACAGTGACCATTTGAAGTATGCTAGTGTCAGTATTTTACTTTAAAAATAATTTGTGATGCAGAAGAAGAAAAAAGAGTTGATTGGCCAGAGAAGATGTTACCAACAGGTTGAACTTCTGTCCTTTTCTCCTTGTGGATTTTCCTCTAAAAGAGTCTTAGCATTTAATGCACTCCAAGATGATAAAATAATTTTGTTTTCTCCCATTCTTTTCAGATATGCTTGACATTTACATGGAAGGATGCATTTGATAAAGGTTCACTTTTTGGAGGATCTGTAAAATTGGGTATGTATTTTTTTTTTTTGTACCGGGTATTGAACTTGGGACCTTGTTCTTGTGAGGCAGGTGGCAGAACCATTGAGCTAAATCCCCGGCCCTGGGTATGTATTTTTAATAGAAATGATAGGAAATGTGGTCAAAGCACTTTGTATTTTTTTAGGTTTTAAAAATTGTTCTCGTGATTCTTCTAAGTACTAAATTTTTTTACATTTCATTTTCTTTAACTTTTAATGCAATTTCAAAATATTTTATAGCGAGCCTATGCCTTGCCAGGCACTGTCCTAGTTGTAAAAATGAGTAAGACTGTTGTGTTCAGTGTGTTCAGGAAGAGAGATGATCATTGTAAAGTCCAATACGTACTGTGTAATGTTTGATACCTGCTGCATGATGTTTTGTTCTGTGACACACTGTGTATATGATGTTGGTTCCCATAGACTATACTGTCTTGTCATCTTAGTTTGTGTGAGTATGATATGATGTTCACATGTGTTCTGGTTTTGTTTTGTTTTGAGCTAAGTCTCACTGTGTAGTTTAGGCTAGTCTTGGCCTCACCATGTAGCCCAGGTTGGCCTTAAACTTATGATTCTCCTGCCTCAGCCTCCTGATTGATAGAATTGTGGGCACATGCGCCCTGCTCGCATATATTCTATGAGATTTGCAAAATGATGCTATCACCTATTGACTTGATTCTCAGAATGTATTCCTGTCACTGAGGCATGAGTTTGTTTTTCCATTAAGTTTATTGGTACATTTTATGTATACAGTACACTTACTTTCATCATTAGGATCTTGTACCTTTACATGATGTATCTTGGTTCTTTTTCCCCCGTTTCCATGCCCTTCCTTTACCCCCTCTACCTTTCACTATTTTCAAAGACTTTGTTTCCATGTTTTTGCTTTTCTTATATTTTTTCTTTTCCCTTTTTCCTTTCCCCTGCTCCTCCTACTTCCCCTACTCCTTCAGACATTTTCTTCCTGTTTCGCAATAGAAGCATGACTTTGTATCAGTCTTTGAACAAACTTTTGGGAGCATAAATGAGGATGAAGTGAATTCTTCGTGTTGAAAGCAAGCAGTGTTTGGATCAGGTCTTGAAAGATGAATTTGACTTTTGCAGGCAGGAAATAATATTACAAGTATAACATAACCAAAACTCAGAATGGTGAAGGGCTTTTGGTCTACCAGCTCAGGCAAGTCATCTCCTATGTGTCTTAATTTCCTTTTGTGGCACTCTTACATAGATTAAAGTAGTGAAAACATGTAAAGTCCTTAGAATAGAGCTAAGTATTAGGTACGGTGAATGGTAATCAATAATAGTATTTTGTAAAATGTACTTGTGTACACATATTTTATATACATGTGTGAGTACCCAACTGTTTGGCTTGCTTGGGCTGTATTGCATGAAGAGGAATTGTCTTGGGCCATATATAAAATGTATAATAGAGTTCGTATATATAAATAACAAAACTTCTTTTAAAAATATTTTAATTTACTAAATTATTTTATGAAGTAATACAAACCCAAGTTTATTGGTGGTGTTGTTTTTTTGTTTTTTTTGAGACATGGTCTCACTATGTAGTCGAGACTGATGTGGAACTCACTATGTAGCCCAGGCTGGTCTCAAACTCACAGCGATCCTCCTGCCTCAGCCTTCCGAGTGCTGGGATTACAGGCATGTGCCACCACTCCCGGCCACAAACCCAAGTTTAATAAATAAAAAAAAGTGTCTGCCTAATTACTATAAGTGGCTCTCTTTTCCTCAGCCTTCCGAGTGCTGGGATTACAGGCATGTGCCACCACTCCCGGTCACAAACCCAAGTTTAATAAATAAAAAAAAGTGTCTGCCTAATTACTATAAGTGGCTCTCTTTACAGGCGCACTTGTGTAGGTAGGCTGAAACACTGTTACTGGTAATGCTGTGTTCTACTCTCAAGTCACACAAGTGCATGGGATGTTGAATATATTGCAGGTTTCCATTTGACTGACTGTAGGGGAAGACACAGGAGGAAAATTTAGCACTGTGCTGCACCCTTCTGTACACAGAGTTGTATTGTTTCATACACAGACTGTGCTCAAGCACTGTGTAATTTGAGTCTTGAAAAATACTTCTAAAGGCTGAGGATTTAGCTCACTGGTTCCGTCCGGAGCCTGCCTCGCAAACACAAGGACCCGAGTTTAATCCCCAGTACCACAAAACAAACAAACAAAAAAACCCTACCCCCCGAAAAATACTTTTAAAAATCACATAATAATGTTAAAAGTTTACAATCTTGTGATACCACATTACTAGGGCGGCATGTGTCATGGGTCAAGGGCAGCATGTGGCTTGGGTATATACTTTACATCTTACAAGTATTTATGTATACCTTATATGGCATATATACATTGTATAAGTAATAGTATGTACAAGATACCTTGTGAAAAATAGATATAATATGCACATGTCATATGTACATATACACTTTACATTAGGTATAAGTATTATAAGGCATATACTTATATATAGGTGAGGAAATGGAAATGTGCAATTATATACATTATATATAACATTAATGTAGAATAATTATTGTTATGCCTTGAGACTGTGGGTTGTATTGGGAATTACAGAGTTTGATGATATTGCAAAGTAGAAAGGTATAAATAATTTATTTCTGAATTTGTATTTTCCCCTAATATCTTAATGGCTAGTGTTTATTGAACAACATCCTCTACCCAGGCACCATGAAATGGGCGTTACATATATTTTATTGAATCCTCAAGTAATCCAATGAGGAAAGGCAGTGTTTTGCCAGTTGAGCAAACTAGTGTAGAAATTAAGTAGCTTGTAAATGTATTGTTACTAGAATGTAATGAAGGAGGTATGAATCCAGAAAGCCTAACTCCAGGGATTTGCGAGAAACAAACCAGTCTCTGAGAGATAATGAGGTCAGACCAGGTAGTAGTAGATGGATGTGGTTTAGAGTAGAAGATGTAGGCTTAGGAGACATTTCAGAGATTGATTGGATCACTGACAGAGGGAAGAGGAGGAGAAGCTAAGGGTTGACTGGGAGATTTGGTCAAATTTGGCTTGACCGTTTTGATTTTTATTCCTTTTAGTAGGTTGGATTTGACTTTTCTATTTTATGTTAGGGTGGAAAATTTTTCCTGGTATTAGGAAATAATGGATTTAAAGCCCAGAATAGGTAGAGATGTAGATTTAGGAACCATTGTCATTTGATGATAATAATTTTATCCCCGCTATCAGGTAATAGAGAAGTATGAAAGTCAGAGTTAGTATAATCAGAGGAAATAGAGAAAGAGATTCTAGGAATTAGGCTGAGAAAAAGCTTTCAGATTTTAAAGGAAACAGGAAATTTTTAAAGGAAAAATTAGAGACATGGCAGTAAATACCAGAAGAGTTTCAGTGGTGATAAAGTCCAGTGGTTCCCCAGCCTGACTGCATATAGAATTACTTGGTGAAAATATTCAATATTCAGAGGGTACCGACAGGTGTGATGGGAAATTTTGGGTGGTGCACTGGAATTAGTGTCTGAAAATATCTCCAGGTGACTCTGCTGATTGTGCAGGTTGAGACATTGACCAGAGTCACTGTGGCAAAGGTCAATGTCTTAGTCACTTTCTTTATTGCTGGGACAAAAACCTGACATGTATACCTTAAAGGAGGAGAGGCTTATTTGGCTCATGGTTACAGATTGTGATTGGCTGGATCCATGGAAGAACAGCGTGGCACAGGGCCATAGTGAGAAAGAGTTGCTTACATCATGGTGATCAGGAAATAGAGAAGGGAAGAGCAAGGGAGGGAGATACACTCTTCCAGGTCACACCCTCTGACCTGCGAATCAGCTGTAGTGCAAATCACCTGTCCTTCAGTCACCATCTGAGTCCTGCCTCTGAATGCATGAGGCTCTTAGGGACAGTTAGATGTAAATGATAAGAGCAAATGAGGTTGAAAAGTCCCTGGATTTGGTTGAATTTTCTAGGAGCATGCTGAAGAAGTCAAGTTGCATCAAGTTAGGAGTAGACTTGAGGTTAGGAAATGTAAACAGCAAGTGTGAGCTGCTCATTTTAGAACATTTGCAGTAAAGATTAAGTGACAAAGGGAGCATTATGCTGAGAGGGAAGCAAAATAAAGAAAAGTCTTTTTAGTGCTGTTGTGATGTAAGCAAATTAGTGGGTTGAGAATAAGGAATAGCTGACAGGAAACTAGGAAATACTAGAGTGGGAGAGTTAGGTGATGAACCCAGTTCCTAGAAGAGGGAAGCAAAAAGTTAAGAGCATAAATAGAGCAGGAAGTAGTTCATGAAGGCACTGTTAACAGTAAAATTTGGAAATTAAATGTCCTTCAGTAGTGTCTTATTACCCACTCAGAACACTGTGTATACTTTTAGGAGACTAAGGGATAATGCAAATATATATTTGTTGACATGTAAAGCTGTGTCCATAGAACATTGAATAAAAAACCTGTTATAGGTCAGAGTTGCTGTATTACACACCTTTGGGGTCCCTTGAGTTGATCCCCTTGGGGCACCCTTCTAAAAGCCTGTGTGATTTCTCCTTCCTGGAGTTACACATTGCAGGCAACCTCAGTATGGTGTAGTGTACATTTTGTCAAAAGCTATGTATGAGCACATGGGAGATTTTTTTTTTGTGAAAATACCAAAAAAATTAATGATTTTAAATTTATTTTCTTTTTAAAATAATTGTTTGGATTTTAGAAAACTATTTTTTACTTATAATCACTTCAAAAAACTTAATGAAAAAGAAAAAATCATGCCAAGTGTGATCATGCACAACTGTAATCCCAGTACTCAGGAGGCTGAGACAGGATCACCACTAATTGGAGGGCTGCCTAGGCTACAAAGTGAGTTCAAGGCCAGCCTGAACTATACAGCAAGACCCTGTGTCAAAAAACAAAAAAAGACAAAAATCCCAAAAAACAAGAATAGAGTTGAATAATAAGAAAACACTCTTTAAATAAAAGAGTTGAACATAAAAAAAAAAAAAAACCAAAACCCCAAACTGGTTATAGAGGTGCTAGAAGAAAACAAAAACCTGTAAGATTTGGTTATGGGAACAGAAAATGTTCTCATAAAAATCTCTCACATGAGGGCTGGGGATTTAGCTCAGCGATTCAGTGGCCTGCCTTGCAAGTGCAAGGGACCTGAGTTCAGTCCCCAGTACAAAAAAAAAAAATTTCTCACATGAGAAACTGTTGATACAGAAAGTGTGCTATAGCTTTTTTTCTGGATTGTTACAGTTTCCTGTATCTTAAAACAATTATTTTCTGGATAGTGTGTCTTTTCTTTGCTGGAATATCTTTAGTAACTTTCTAAACAAAGGTCAGCTTTCTGAATCTTATCTTTTTGAAAATGTCTGTGTTGTACCCTCATAGGAATTTGGTGTGGAATTACAGCAACTAGATAATTAGGTAATAATGAATCATCTTTGACTCTGTTTCATTCAATACATCCAGTTTATTCATCAGCAAACTCATATTTTCCTTTAAAGTGTGTTCAAAATTCAGTTGCTTCTTAATACCTCTATTGCTACCATTCTAGCCTGAATACCATCGCCTCTCGGCATTTTACTGTAGTGGCTACCTGTTGTGTTCCACCAGTCTCCTGCTTTCCTATAGTTTGTTTTTACAGTGGGCTGATTAATACACTGTTGAAAAACTGTATTTCTCATCTCACTCAAGAGTAAGAGGCTATAGAGTAAGTTGGTTCTCGTCTATTTTTTTAGGTCTTTGCTTATTATTTTGTCTCTTTTCCAGCCATCCTGGCCCCAGTATATGTCTGTTAATTAAAGTAGTATTTACTTAGAATTTGAAGACATTGTTCCCTTGCCTTTTAGTATCTAGTTTTACTGATGAAAGGTCTCTTTTGTAGGTGACCTGTTTCTTTTCTCTTGAGGATTTTTACAACCTTTCTCTTTTTGTCTTCCATGTTTGGCAATTTGAAAAGATTTAATTGGATCTCATTTTATTCTTTGTGCCTAGTACTTATCAGTGGCCCTGTTAGGGGGAGCATTTACATCTCTCTTCAACCCTGGGAAATTCTTATTTTTCTTTGGTAATTTCTCCTTCCCTTTCTCTCTCCCTCCTTCCCCTCTCCCTTTTCTCTTTGGAATATTTGTATTTTATTAGTAGGGTAGTGATTATTCTGAGCTTTTTACTCACAATTATTATATTTTAAAATTCTTTGACTTTTATATTTGTCTGGGAGACTGCTTAAATATTACTTTCTTTTTAATTTTGAAGTTATTTCTCTTCCTGATTTGTAAAAATAACAACTTGTTCTTATTTTATTAATGTACCATCTTTGGATCTCATAAGGATGCTAATTATGACTTTGAAATGTTATCTTCTGTTCCTGGAGTTGTCTTCGTTTGCTCTGAGTCAGTTTTTCAATTGCTTCTATTTACCTGACAGCTGTCCTCACATCTGGTTTGTTCTAGATTTTTCATGTATTTAAAAAATGGGTTAGAGTAACTGCTGTGTATGTCTGCTAAATTTTAGAATTAGGAGGCGAGAATTGGTTTTGGAAGCAAGTTGAAAACCAGTCATTATTAAAAAAGAAGATACCGAGATGCTGTAACAAGAAAAGCTTTCCTTTGTACATAAACACACAATTGTGGTATTCTAGTTCTGCTAGATGGCTTGTCCAGTGTTCTTTGTAGAGTGCTTTCTGATTATTTTGCCTGGTGGTCCATGCTTGGCACATTATATGAGACCTTGAATTGCACTGTAATTGCATTTTACAAATACTGTAATAGGGAGCCCTTATAGATTCTGTTTTTTTTTTGCAGGGTGGGGAGATGGGGGTGGTCCTGGGTATTGAATCCAGGATCTTGTGCATGATAAGGCACTCTTACCACTGAGCTACATCCTCAGTCTTTAGAATTTTTTCTAAAAAATTATTTTTAGTTGTCATAAAATACACATAATATACCACTTTAGCCATTTATAGATGTGCCATTCAGTAGTATTTAGTACATTTTTATTATTGTTCAACAAGCACTACCGGTATAACTCTTTATCTTACAAAACTGAAGTCCTGTACCCATTAAACAATAACTTGCCATTCTTCCATCTCCACCAGTCCCTGGCAACTACCATTATACTTTTTGTCTCTGAATTTAACTTCTCCAAATAACTCATATAAGTAGAATCATACTATGTTTGTCTTAAAAACAATTGTAAGAATTATATTACATGATAAAGAAATAAAAAAGAAACATATAAAGTGAGATTTAGCATCTTAACTGTTTTTAAGGGTACAGTTCAGTGGTTAGGTACGTTCACATTGTTGTGAAACAGACCTCCAGAAAGTTTTATCTTGCACATCTGAAATGCTGTATGTACTCATTCAATGCTGCCACCCTCTTTTCCCTGGTAAGGACCACCTACTTCATGTTTTTATGAATTTGGTATTATTTCATATAAGTGGAATCAAACTGTGCTTTTGTGATTAGTTTATTTCACTTTATAATATCCTTAAGATTATATTGTAGCATGTGATTTTCTTCCTTTGAAAAGTTGAATAATATTTTAGTATATGTATATATCACTTTGTTTATCCATGTATCAGTGATGGGCTGAGTTGCTTTTCACTTTCCGGCTTTTGTGAATAATGTTGCTATGAACATGGATATACACATCTGTCTTTGAGACCCTGCTTTCAGGTTTTTTGGGTATGTATCCAGAAGTGAAATATTTGGGTCATAGGCTAATTCTATTTTTAATTTTTTGGGAACCCACCATACACTTTTCCACAGAAGCTGCAGCATTTTACATTTCCATCAACAGTGTACAAAAGGTTCCAATTTCTCTACAAATTTCTCTTCATACTTGTTATTTCTCTTTCTTTTTTTTTTTTTGGGGTACTGGGGATCAAACTCGGGTCCTTGTGCTTGCAAGGCAGGCGGCAGAACCACTGAGGTAAATTCCTGGCCCCACTTTTTTTCTTTTTTTTTTTTTGGCACCGGGGATCGAACTCGGGTCCTTGTGCTTGCAAGGCAGGCGGCAGAACCACTGAGCTAAGTCCCCAGCCCTTTTTTTCTTTTTTAATAGTAGCTATGCTAATGAATATGAGGTTATAAATTCTTATTCACAGTTGCATTTTAACTAAACTAACCTGCTAGCCCTCTGAGAAATAGATGTATTGGCCTGAGGGAATGAACTATGGAAGGGCAGCTTAGAGGTGCTTGCCTTCACACAGGTTTGTAGTGATGAAAAACTGACATATGGGGACATAAAATTTTGAGACATGATGGGAAAATGGAAATCTCTTGTTCGTATTTAAGAAATTAAGTGAGAAATGACATTAGAATGATTTTTTACATTTTGAATCCGACTATAACTGTGTAGAAAGAAAAGGAAGAAGAGAAAAAAAATAATCTTGTGAGTTTATTTTTTCACACCTGTGGTGCTGGGGATCAAACCTAGGGCCTCAGGCATGCTAGACAAGCACTGTACAACTGAGCCATACCCCCATCTTCTGATCTTTTTTGAGTTTTTAATGATGGGAATATTGTGGGAGTAAAAGGCTGGGTAGCTCTAAGTAGGTGAAAAAACAGCTCTGGAAACTTTTTTTTTTTGAGAAGTAGTGGAATAGAAATCATATAGCATTTCTCTTTGAAACATTTATTTTCCTTAGAAAAAAAATAATCTGATAAATTTTTCCTTTTCAATTTTTTGCAGCTCTTGCAAGCTTAGGATATGAAAAGAGCTGTGTGTTGTTCAATTGTGCAGCCTTAGCTAGCCAGATTGCAGCAGAACAGAACCTGGATAATGATGAAGGATTGAAAATCGCTGCTAAACATTACCAGGTATGCAGAAAAGTAGTTACATAATGATCAACATAAGTTGCATTAAATTGAAAATAACTTACATTTAGGTTTATAGGTGCTTCTCTGTACAACAGATGTGTTACTGAAAAGTAAGTCACTTTTTAAATGAGTTGATTCTTATTGCTAAACCTTTTAGATTAACTACTTATAGACCAAGTCTATTTTACCTCCTCATTGTATACCTAGCACCTAGCACAGTGCCTGGCACATAATAGAGGCTCAGTGAATGTTGATTGAATAAATGTTTGAGATAGAATTGTAAACATTTATGGTAAATCCCTAAGTAAATGATCTAATTTAAAGCATTTATACATTATTTTTGTATGTTTCATAGAGTGAGACACTGAAAATTTCACTGGTGTCACAAAAGTTAAGAACTTTGGCAAGAAAATAAAAGTTTGATTTGGAGACTTATGGAGAGGTCATATTTAAATTTGGTCAGGTGTACAATGATCCCAAGATTGCTAACTCTTACTTAGGTACTAATCATTCACTAATTTGAGTTGTTATTTTGTGGCAGTTGTTTATCATTTAACTTTTTATTTGTTTCAGTTTTAAAGAATATAAGTAATTATGTTGACACATCATATATAATTGTTTCCGTATTTTATATTATTTTAGAATTTATGGTGCATGTTATGTAATGTCATTACCATTTCACAATTGAGGAGACTAAGGTTAGAAATGAGTTTCATTTGCATTTTAGGCATTCTTATTCCAAATACCACAGAATTACAGGTATTCCTTCCTCTGTCCCTGTGGAATTTGCTTGTCTCAGAGGTTCTCTGAGTCTGATTTTTATCATTGTTTAAGTTCAGGGGAGAGGAGAGGAATGCTGTTTGTGAAAATGAAAGGAAAGTATAATTTAAACTATATACCAAAGTTGTAACTTTAACAAAAATATCAGTGGGATGATCAGTTTAATGGGGAACATTTCACTAGGAAGCTCTAACAGCTCAACAGAAATGATGAGCAGTGGATAGTAACACTCTTTTTCAGAGGATTAAGGGTACAACTTCATACCAGCTTATTTGAATGATGAATTTGTTTGGGAGCAAAGCAAGAGTATTCAAGCTCTAAAAATTTCATTAGTGTTTTATGTTTTTGTGTATTCTTAGGTAAAATTTGAAGTGTATCTAAAAATAAATAAGCCTAATGATTTTTTTTTCTTGTATTGGTGATTGAACCCAGAGCTTTGGCATTGGGCTACACCTTCAACCCCTTTTTCTATGTTTTGTCTTGAGACAGGGTCTAAGTAATTTACCAAACTGGTCTTGAACTTGTGATTTTCTTGCCTCATCCCCCAGAGTGCTGGGATTATAGGCATGTGCCGCCATTATAGGCATGCCCACCTTTCTGTAATTTACTTTTAATCTTTGTTAAACCTTTTGTTATTCTATACAGTTGTTTTTTGTTGTTGTTAAATAAGGTCTTCCTGTGTAGTTCAGGTTGGCATTGAACTTATTATGTAGCCCAGGCTGGTCTCAAACTCATGGTGATCCTCCTGCCTCAGCCTTCCTCCATGGAGTTTTTGTTTTTTGGTACCGGTGATTGAACTCCGGGCCTTGTGCTTTTGAGGCAGGTGGTGGAACCACTGAGCTAAATCACCAGTGCTCTATAGAATTTTTGAAAGATAAGCTTATCATCTGTACATCAGAAATTTTAAACTTTTTGTATAATATGAAATTTTAAATATAACTACTGAAAGAATTGACTTGAAATGATTTTTGTTTGTTATAGTAGAAAATAAAGTTTTGCTAAGCTCTTAGAGATTTAAAAAATGTTTTCTCCCCACTTTAGTTTGCTAGTGGTGCCTTTTTACATATTAAGGAGACGGTTTTATCTGCCTTAAATCGAGAGCCTACTGTGGACATATCTCCAGATACTGTTGGGACCCTCAGTCTTATCATGCTGGCACAGGCCCAAGAAGTATTTTTTTTAAAAGCTACAAGAGGTAACTGCAGTTTTTTGAATGTTAAATAATAAGCTTTTAAACAATAAAGTGATTAGAATATAGTATGTTCTATGTCGACCTTCCTTTCGAATACAATACAGAGATTATTAAAAAATCCTAGCTTTTGTTTTTCGAACTTGTATTGCATGATTGTGGGCAGTTTGTGAAGGCTTATGTTGAAAGCTTAGTTACCTGTTCTGAAACACTGGATTTTGAAATAATTTTTTTTATATGTTTGTAATATTCTAAAGCATTCATTTATCAAATATTTATTGTGTGCTTACTGTATGGCAGGCATTGTTCTAATCTCTAGGTAAAGAGTTAATATACAAGCAAGATTTCTGTTTCTAGAAGCTTGTATTTTAGTGTAGGGGAGATGATATAAAAAAATTAACAGCAAGATGATTTTTTTGTTGCAGTGAGGAAACTGAATAGATTATGTGATAGAGACTGGTTGTGGTGTAGAGATTTAGGGGAGTCAGGTTAATTTTAGATTTAGTAATCAAGATGGGCTTCTTTTTTCAGGGGAGGGGGACTTTGGTGTGTAGCTGGTATTGAGCTCAGGACCTTATACTTGCCAGGCAGGTGGTGGCACCACTGAGCTAAATCCCTGGCCTAAGGCTTCTTAAATGACTGGAAGGAGCCATCCAGGCAGAGTCCTTGGTGAATGGGAGAATAAGAACAAATTTTGTAAGGCATGTAAATTAGTATGAAAGAATAGAGTATAGGCTGAATATTAGCTCATGCCGGGAAATTAAAAATAAGAGAACAGTCTTCATATGGAAAAGATATGAAGTAGAATAATTTTTTCTTATAAAAAACAGTGTATATTGAAGTAGAATTCATATACACCAAAATCCACCCTTTCAAAGTTTATAATTCAGTGGCTTTTAGTGTAGTCGAAAGGTTTTCAACCATTAACACCATCTTATTTTAGAATATCATAACCCCCCAAATAGCTGAGCATGTATTAGTAATTACTTCTTTTTTTTTTTT